AATTATACTTTAACTTACGCTTGTATGATACTAGTGGGTGAATTAAGATTAACCCCGCTTTGAACGATATTTCGTACTTCGTACTCAAAGGAAGTTCGAAGGATACTATTGTTGTTTAGAATTTTAGCGCAACCGCAGACAGAAATATGACCAGAAACAACCACATCACAGAATGAGACTTGGGTCAGACAAACATGTGTGAAGTCGTAGGACTTCATCGACCAAACGTTTGCATGGTTTATCACCCTAGAACTAATGATACGCACATACATACGTGTCCACCCGATCCCAGTGTTGTTTGTTCCAACAACCCGCCGTGATATTGCTGGAATATTGCTAAAAGCGGCGTAAAACCATACTCACTCACTCACCCCACTCCAACAACCAGCGAAAGATATACCCACGGAATATATATTAAATTCATTAAGAATGTTTCATGTTTTAAATAGACAGACATTAAGTCTCTGGAATGAAATTATTCAAAGATTTAGTTTGTTAAATTGTCTTTTGATATATAATAAAAACTGAGGAAAGAGAATCTCCTCTTGAAACTGATATCTAGGTTTACCAAAGTAATGTAAACTTGCTTGGGAGATGTGATGCTATGTTTGAGCTTCGGTTAACCTTGCAATGAATTTGCCGAACATGGCTTATAAGTGGACTTGGCTTAAGCAAACTGGTAGCTTCATCAATTCATTATTTAGAACGCAATTGCATTGCAATCAGACCAGGGCCTACTTGCACAAAGCGATCTTAGCGCTACAACTATTGTAAACCTATGTTGAAGTATGAGAGTTACGATCATCTTAGCGCTAAGATCGCTTTGTGCAAGTGGGACCAGGAGTTGATATTAGCTGTATTTCTCTACAGTGGTATTGATCACACAGAGTGAGTTGTGGCGTTGTATGATGTTTAAAAGTGTCCCAGCTATATCACCGGGGAGAAAGGGCTTCACATGTTGTACCTAGGCGGGTAATCGAACTCGGGTCTCCAGCGTGACAAGCCAACGCGTTCCCCACTAGGCTACGTCACCGACAAACGTGAACATGATAAAGCTGATTCCTAAGATGAGCAGGTTGTGTTTTAACATTATATCCCAACTATGGTTATTATTCTTGACACAATATAAAACTACATACAACAAGCTCAACAAACACCAAATTAACACATCCTTCATCGGACAGTTCAATGGTTATCAAGGAATTTAGATTTAAATTTAAATTTGTATTTCAGTGTTGTGTATTGGGTCAGTTCTACTGTCGGAATAATGATGTGGGCGCTTCTGCCGCCAGCTTGATCAGTTCTCATCTTTTACGGGCGCCTCAGTGTCGCTTGTTGTTGATAGGTTAATTGACATACCTTGTTAAATATTCACAGAACAGTAATGCACAGATACTCAAGCAATGATGAGGGGGACAAAAAACACCGGCATGTGAATGATATGTAGGAAATGAGAATATGTGTTATTGATGCTAGTGCGCCTCGAATCTTTTATAATTATAAAGTATGAATAATATATTGTATTTTATTATTATACACAACGGCACAAATTAAAACAGTGGCCAAATAAATTGAAATGAAAATAAAACACTATCTTAATAAATAGACTTTAAGGCTTACATACGTATATGTATACAAATGGCTTGTCGAGATGGTAAGTCGGGGAGGAAATATTGTTTAACGCCGCACTCACCAATAATCCAGTTATGACGCGTATCCTGTAAAGCATCGAGTCTTGGTAAGACACACTAGAGGTTGAAACGGGTGTGATGACACACATTCAACCAAGTCACCGATACCGATACATTCAGTCGCCCATTACGACAAGCACAAGTTCTACGCCGGTATCCAGTCTTCCCAAGGCAAGGGATTTAACTGACTATAAAAGTGGAAATTGGACTTTTACATTCAGTTAAATCCCTTGACTCGGGAAGATGAGGAATCCATTCGGGGACTGTAACGGACAAGAAAGACCTTGGTATATCCTTAAGCCGTTTAATGTGTATTGCTTTCAAAAGAAAGTCACACCGCACATTTTCTTTCCTTTTTCAACTGTTGGTGAAAACAACCAACTTTTCACCAAAACAAATTCACATTTTTATTTGTTGAAATTTTAATCGAAAACTAAATGAAAAATCTTTAGAAAGCCTTTGGGGTCTCTCTTGCGCCCAAATAAACACCAATACACTTAAATACACAAAGAGAATGAGAGGAGTTTAACGTTTAGTTTTTCTAAAGAATCACAATAAGATTTAAGATAACGTGCGTTGAAGATGACCACAGTAAAACCTGTCTTTCCCATGAGTCCTTGTACATAATACAGTTGTGTAGCACAGAATCAGGTTTGCCCGAGGATGAGATCCCATAGCGTTGAAGGGAGGTAATCAATTAAAAGCACAGCGAGACACCGTGTATACAAATCATCCGTGGAGACACGTTTTACCGTTCCTCCAAATGGATGCCTTTGGGTTAATGCCATCTTTATACCTCGACGGTGATGCTGCTGCTTCAACACCGCTCACTTCGTCAGGGACATCGTTTATCAGACACTTCACTACAAGTCGGACACAGTCAAGTCTTGACATTTACAAACGGTTCTGCTGTTGGGCGAGGGACTTGCAAAATATCGCCAAGAAACATTCGATGATTCAAATCTGTTTCATTGAGTGTTTCATCTTTAAAGATTGCAGTTAAAGATTCAGCGCGACCCCTTTAGTCCGAAAACCGTTAATCCGAAAACCTTTACCCCGGAACCACCGTTAATCCGGAAACCGTTAATCCCGTTATGTGATTACTGTTATAAATTCAAAGGGACAACAGGTCCCACAGGTAGTCATTACTATAATTTCAGTATGGGCTTTATATATTGTTTGTGTTGTAATTATTTTTGGCAAACACCACCTGTTCTGAAAAAACGTTAGTCAAATACAATGTATGCCAACTGTATGTAACTTAATACGTATTTCGTCGTCAGAACTTCTGCAGGGTCTTGCGCACTGACACGCAACACGTACAGCGTGTATTGAACAATGCTCGTCATGCAAGCAACTTGATACACCAGATGGTCTTTATATACATATTCACGGCCAATAGGATAAACTACTGCGCCCTTATCGAGGGTTATAGTTAATGAGAACAGGTACGGTAGCTTTCCTATTCGGTTATTCGTAATACCTGTTTGGAGGGAATGCGCGGAAGGGTTTGAGACTGCACGCGCACTAGTCTAGTGAACAGATGGCCGACGGCGTTTGTTTAATGTGACGAGTTGATTAATAAATCATCCCGTATAGGGTGTTATTAGCAAATATTCTCTTTGACTGCCTTAATTTGTAAATATAAACTTCATAAAAAATTCATACAATCGTGAAAAGGTTGCTCCGTTATGAAGCCATTCAATACAACAGCAGTTGTTGGCGTTCTTAAACTATTTGTATGGGAAACTAGCGTGACATAATACAACGGTTGTGCGTGAGACGATTCACATGGGAGTACAACACACCGCATCATGGTTAGACATTCACGCAGGATCTTTCACCACGAATCTATTAGGAAAACACTATGAGACAGTCCGTAGCTCTGTGTAGCGACAAGTCAAAATCAAATTCGTTTAAAGGGACCAGGGCCCTGTTCCACACAGCGATCTTTGTGCTACGTTGATCGTAATCCTATGATAAAGTATGGGAGTTACGACCAACTTAGCACTCAGATCGCTTTGCGGAACAGGTTCCAAGGATAGGGTTATCGCAGCGAGGCTACAGTGTATTCTACCGTGAGTAGTCGAAACTGATCACGCCCGCATGAACTCTGATTTTACGGCCGCTTCCCCAATGAATTAATTGAGAACAACGCGTCTGCCTTTTCTAAATCATATAAAATCAGCTGTTGTTAATTCGCTTGTTTGTTTTGTCTGGGCTGAATTTTCTGATAAAATCTTAAAGAAAATCCGACTTCTGACAATCGGTTCTTCCGCAAAGTGTTCGTGAAGCCGTTCTGTCATGTCACGCACCAAATACTTTCATATGTGAAGCACAAGGAGTGACAATCAGCAGCCACGTTTACCAAGAACTGTAACTTATATTAGCAAAGTGATGACTGAGATTGTCGAATCGTTTATAGGTTTACTGGTAGACGATGCTATTTAACGAAGACATAGATATTGTCCTTGGAGTTGGTAATGACGAAACGTATACAGTGAAGCGACTCCGTTATCCCGATAGGGCTGTTCCCTGTTAACGTATCATTTACATTGAGTAATGTCCCTTTGTAAATCTGGAATGAGTTTTTCCCACTGACGAGGGCCCGAAAGCGCCATTCACCGACCCATTCGCGTAAATATATAATGTTTTATTATTCCCAGATAGGCTACGAGTCATAGATCAAAGATAAACTCACGCCACCTGGCCTGTATCCGTGGATCTCATTAGAGCGTGTTCCATCTTAGAGTGTGAGTGTGTGAGTTAAGTTTAACACCTCTTTTAACAGTATTACAGTTATATCACGGCGTGTCAGCTTAATGAGAGAGGAAAGCCCGAAGTGATGCAGGTCTCAGACGTTTACCACTTCGGTGAAACCCACGAGCACGGTATGGTGCTGACAAACCTAGAAAGTTAATCGGGGCGAACCCGGGATTCGAACCCACAATCATAGGTTTCTGGCGTGCACAAGGGACGCAACTCTGTACAGCGAATCGCGGCGCCTTAGACGACTGGGCCACCCGTGCCCCTTCCATCTTAGAGACGCGTGTGATGAAAAACACAGAGAGTATCTTTTTGAAAAACGATTTTATATTCATGATAGTTGATAGGTCAACATGTTCTAGATATACAACAAGTTTTCCATGAACAAATTAATCAACAAGTAAACATTTCACAGTAGTGAGTGAGTTGGGTTTAACGCCGCTTTTAACAGTATTCCAGTTATATCGCGGCGTGTCAGCCTAATGTGGGAGGAAATACCGAAGTGATGCAGGTCCCAGACGTTTACCACTTCGGTGAAACCCACGAGCACGGGTATGGTGCTGACAAACCTAGAAACATAATCGGGGCGAACCTGGATTTCAGGCGTGCCTAAGGGACGCAACTCTGCACAGCGAATCGCAGCGCCTTAGACGACTGGGCCACCCGTACTCCTCATTTCACAGTAAAAACATGTGACATGGCTAGTTGGGATAGTTAATGTCACATATTGATGAAATGTGACCCACCATGAAATAAGGGACTTCTTAACTTCTCATTATGTTTTAAAACTGCAGAATCTTATGACCACAAACACACAATTCATAATCTTCATTTCATATTAATTACAGAGAGACATAGTATCAAACATTTGGACTCATTTTGTGCAAAGTCCCGTTTTCAGATTATAACTGTGTATGTAATTACTGCAGAACAAATGTATCAAAGCAGCCATAAGGTCCATTTTCTTCTGTTGGGTCTCAAATATTGTTACTCACAGTAATGTCACGGTGAATTTGCAGTGCGACGTCTAATGCGAGATCGCCATTAAACACGTGGCGTACTTTTATAGCCCAATACGTGTACCGCGAGGATTGTGTGCTGCATGTGCTCTACAGGCAAAATATAGTTTCACTAGTGTTACTGTTTGATTAGCTATTCCCACTTTATCATGAGCATCTGTCAACTAAATAAGAGTGATTTTTAAATTTTATTTTTCCGGGGAATTCCGTGGACGAATTTCAATAAATAACAAAAACGATATCAAAAGCACGTGTTTATGAATCACTATCAAATAGTGATGATACCAGGTGTTGGCCGAAAGGTGAGCGTAACCTGTCCCACCGGAGGCACATGTAACAAACACATGCAAAGACAAGTCAACTGTTCACATGAAAACACACGGGAACATATGATACTAGTCAAAATACGGATTTGTATCGGACATCATTCTTGTGACTGAAGCGTCAAATTTGGAAATGTGATAAGTCCGTAGAACGTTTAAGGGCTATATCAAACACTGAGGATAGGTCCATGTTTTTACTTAATAGTGTTCACTTGGGGGATAATACCAATCCCCGTTACGAGTGACACTGTTCACTCGTGGTGTGTAGCAGTCATTTTGGTTTTCTTTAGTCAAGCTAAGGCCACATAGAGCATCATCGTCCTACAGCGTCTCATCACCGACGTATCGCAACGTGTTTATAATATTATGTTGCATGCTTAACTTTGGTGCTTCTTAAACTTATTGTCCATTTCGAAATTGTACATTCAGCTGAACTCTATATTCCGTTCGTGATCGAGTGAAATCGAACTAACAAAAGTTACAATTAATATTCTACCATCGTACCAAATCCAAACTAACTGCACACCATTTTTTCCATGGTACTTTAACTGTGTGCACATTTACAACCTGTATGGCGAAAAATAGAAAATATGTTTATGTTAAGATGACGGCGGTTCGCGTCGTTGCCATGATGGATACGGGATCTATAACTCTAAACCACATCCATCCCGCAGGTTACAATGCGCAACACAGAATCTTATGGATGCACATAATCACAACATCCCGGATATGTGAGAACAGATTGAAGAAAGCCAGACAGGGGCTCTCTTTGGTGAAACCGTGGTTGTCTTTAGATAACATCAGCTGAATGCATGCCGTCATCAGCTGAAAGAGAACATATTGCATCACTGATTATTATTATCGTGTAACAGTTCACGTATTTTTTACCATGTTTTAATATTCGCAGTATTTTTAATCACATGGCGTCGGGGGACCTGGGACTCACAATACATTCAGAACCTGTGTTATATTTACATGTATATTTAGGACACATCAAGATTGGTTGTTTTAGCACTGAAAATAACTTAGTTATTTTTTATAACACTGTTAGTGTACTTACAACTCATGAAAAAATCGGCGTTTTTGTTCAGGCAAAACATCCTCAATCGTTGTTAGTAAACACATAATATGTATAGAAACTATTTAGTGAGTTAGTGAGTGTAGTTTTACGCCGCCTTTAGCAATATCACGGCGGGGGACACAAGAAATGGGCTTCACACATTGTACCCGTGTGGGGAATCGAACCCGGGTCTTCGGCGAGAAGAGCGAACCAGTAGGCTACCCCACCACCCCGGAAACTATGTAGAATAAATACGACCACCACAATGTTAAACATCACTGTATTCTGCACACTTATACATCAACATTTCTGTCTTTTCTCCATAACATATAAAAAATTCGTGTTTTCATTTCTGCTTTCACTGGGCAATTCACATATGCATTTCCGCTTATCACTTCCTTCGCCCCATCTCACAAGACACCTACCTCACTGACGCCCAATGCAATAAGTCCGCCAAAGCCACAGTCTCGGAGCTGAATATATAACCAGTCATTATTATATAAAATAAGTATTTTTCAATTCAATACTTTATTTTACAAAGGCCCCCGGCCCATATACATCAGAAGTCTATACAAACAAGTATGTGTTTAAAAGACAAAGAACAAAGTACTTACGGAACGGAAAATGTGCCAGTGACCAAACATGTGCAATGCAATTCCCAATTTTGATCCCGTGTTTTTTCCATACGTTCCCGCGTTTGTTCAGAGACATGACTTAGTGTTTGTGACGGGTGTCCACATAAAAGCTTACCGTTTGATATGTAATTGAATCGTTTTAATTCCCTGCGTTTATAAGATATTTGGCATATGAGATTCGTAGAAACTCTATACCTCTGATCCATGGAGCAGAACTGGACATATTGTGATACTGAATATCTTAAAGAAGGTCTTGAATGAATGACTTAAATCTTTTTAAACTTTGAAAGACTTCAAAGACTCCAAATAATATCTTCTTTGCTTGGGTTGTTTGACATAGATAGCACGATGTGTGGTAGAGGCCTTCACTAAGGCCTTCACTGAGGCCTTCACTAAGGCCTTCAGTTGAGCTCACCTCATCGACTCCAAAGGCGAAGTACGAGCCGATGCAGGTCAGGCCAACGAGGAACGGCACCACGACGGAGACAATGATCAATCCCTTCTTCATGTTGATGTCAGACTTAAACATGACGGGTATATTACATTAATAAGAAGACAGATTTTGAAAAGTGCTAATAACATGACCAAGATCTTCATGCACCTTTCATTGATTACAATAGGTCGTTAAAGTCAATTTAGTCCGTGTTGATTTTGCAAAAGACATCTTTATACATGAATTATGGCTTTAAGTAACCGCCTTCATATTCTAACAGTTTTAATAATGTTTTTAGAATCTACATCGAAACTTTACAATCATTTTAATAATGAAATTTACTTTCTATATTGCCTAATCAATAGTTAATGTCTGAATTGCGGTGACTCCGTGAATTGTAAGGTTAGAAAGTTAGCCCATTCCATTATCTTTCAAATTAAAGTTTTGAAAGACAGTTTTTCTTCCAGTGATAGTCCCTACCTTTATGGAAATAATGGCAGCAGCCAAGAATGTAAGTCCAATGACAACAGCAGCTGCCAGCAGAATGTAGGTTGCAAAATGTCTGGAATTGAAAACAATAAAACTGAACATTGCTTATCTCGAAGAAAGAAATTCGTTACACTGGAGTGAAATACAGCATTGATCGGTTTTCACGTGTTCAACGCCCATTGACTGCAAACTTTTCCAAAGGAATGTGAAACAAGACGGGTTTTTCCAGTAAAGTAATCATGTTCTAACTAGCAGTAGATTTTGACTAAACCGCAAAATATAACATCCATGCGCCTCTTGAACATTTTCATTGAACGATATATGTTTAACACTGTTGACGTTGCATGTTATTTGTATTAACAGCTCGTGGATAACGGTGTTGCCTGACAGAGGCCAATCAGATCAAATGCTACATTTTTTTGTTTGGTTGTTCTCTAACACACAGCAATATTTCAACTATATGATGGCGGTCTGTAAATAATCGAATCTGGACCAGACAATCCAGTGATTCACATCATGAGCATCGATCCGCGCAATTGGGATCGATGACATGCTTCAACCAAGTCAGCGAACCTGACCACCCGATCCCGTTAGTCGCCTCTTACGACAAGCATAGTCGCTTCTTGCAGCAAACATGCGTTGCTAAAGACCTATTCTACCCCTGATGCTCAAATGCTAGAGGCCATTAACGATATATACACGGATAACACTGTTGACTGGTAGTGATCACGTCGATCACATGACAGTTGCCAATAACGATATATGGATACCACTGGCGGGTAGAGGCCAATTAGATCGTAATGTTAGTTTGTATAATTTAACAATTAAAAATATGAAAATGTCACGAACAATAAGCCCAAGGGCCCCGTGAAGATCCGGGTTAGAATACGTCTTCACCAACCCATGCTTGCTGTAAGAGGAGACCATGCTTGTCGTTAGAGGCGACTAACGGGATCGGGTTTTCACGTTCACTGACTTGGTTGATGCATGTCATCGTATCCCAACTGCGTAGATCGATGTCCATGATGACAATCACTGGATTTTGTGGTCCGGACTCGATTATTACAAACCGCCGTCATATGGGATATTGCTGAGTGCGGCGTTAAACAAACAAACAAACAAACAAATAAGCCCAACCTTACCCAGACACAGCTCCAATAAGCAAGGCGTAGGAGATCGTCTGAAACACAGCAGCTACAGCAATGCATGGTGCTAACACGTCTTTACATGTAATTCCTATAAAATTAAAGCGGCGTTAAAACCCAACACACTCACTGTTTATAAGCATTGTAAATAACCTAGCCGAGGCATCGAGGTTCGACGATGCACAAGTCAATATCACAGCCAGCATTTAACATGATTTTCAACGAGACACGATCGAGACATCCCGGCATCCATTGCAACCTCCAATCTATTTTTCATTTTTAACGCATAACATACAAGACATCTGTGGCTAGGTATGTGGCCTGACTTGTAGACGACGCACAGCCACAGTGTGAAGTATTGCCGTAAATCACAAGTAACTGAATGAAGAGTTCGCGCCTCAACAGCAAATATGTCTACAGATTTATTCTAAATGCAGGAATTGGTCATCCCAGCCGCCATTATGACCACCCAATCCTCTTTTCAGTTCTCTCTAAGACAAGGTAAATATGACTAGATTCGAGACATAATTGTAGTCTACTTAAGATACTTACAAATATGACAAAGCGAATGCTGTTCCCGTTAACTTTCTTCCTGTCAAACAAGACAAACATGCATGAAGTATTGTGCTTCTTCAATATTAGCATTGAAAGTAGGTTGAAACCGGATCTTAGCCCCACCTTCCAAGACAACAAAATCATTTCATTTTAAAGTATACTATATTGTGGGTGTGGGTGTGGGTGTGAGTGTGGGTGTGGGTGTGGGTTTTGGTTTGGGTTTGGGTTTGGGTTTGGGTTTGGGTGTGGGTTTGGGTGTGGGTTTGGGTGTGTGAATCTGCCACGCCGACAAAATCAATATCCGTGTTCCGAAAACGTGGTCGCTGCTATGGCCACAGTCATCGAATTTGCGCCGAAATTATTCCAAAAATGAAACCAAGGCAACTGTTTTCGAAGCGATTCAAAGTTTGCAGTGAACTTTATGTTTTTAAATGTGTGTGTGCAAACGTCATTGTTTTGTTTTTTCAAATCAAACTATGAACGCTCATCGCAGTGAATGAAATGCAATGCTATTTTAGACGACCCACGATGTGTTATGTTACTTGATACTGTCTCATTATTCTGTATGCCTCCGTTATTGTAAGAGCCACATGCGGTAGTAGCAATTTAATAGCTCTACTGTGGTAACTAGTCATTTTGTTTGTCACTCAGGTATGAAATCTCATGTTTTTTCGTTATCAGACTGACCAGGACGTCATCTTTGTGAAGCCATTCGAAATAACAAGAGGGATCTGATTGGAGATCGCTTTTCATCACAAGGGACACAACTCGTGTTCTACACGTTCGAGCCAAGAAAAGTAGGCTTCAAATGGCAAGGGCAAGCCGACTTTGACACAGTCTAGTAGACACTGTTGCCGCGGGAAGATGACTCGGGCCATACAGAACATTGCATCCAGATGTACTTACTTGCTGGGGAGGATAACAGCCAGCACAAAAAAGCACCACACAAATGTCCCACTGCAAAACAAATGGTGGAATATCTGTCATATGATGTTTAATGGGCATGCGATCTAACTGACATGACCTTACAATATATGCCAGCAACTACATTTACACTCTTCAAAAAATGAAACGCACAGGTAGTATGTAGTTCATTGAACCTGACTACACAAAACATCCGGTATATGAATTGGATATATACTCACACGCAAAAGAAACGCAAGTCGAGTATGCAGTATACACTGCCACACATCTGTACATTGAGTGGATCAGACGATTTGTGGAGGCCCTAGGGATCCTCCTGCACACATCCAGAGCAGCTGTGCGTAGTTCATCGGCAGTTGTAGGGACTGGGCGCACATTGTGCAGGCGCCTTTGAACCTCATCCCACAAGTGTTGGATGGGGTTCAGATCAGGGCTGAGGGCTGGCCACGGTAGAACACGGATGTTGTGTTGTTGTAGGAAGGCCATGGTAGCTCTGGCAACATGGGGACGAGCGTTGTCCTGCTGGAAAATGTGTTGTTGACGTTGTGCAAAAAATGGAACAACGTGGGGTCTGATCACTTGGTCGATATACCACTGAGCAGTGACGCCGTGTCCCCGACCTTGACCAATATTCAGAAAGCACATGGATCAAAATCTCGCATTAAGTCCAATCCCTGCCCATATCATGACGCTAGGTCCACCCCATGGATCCCTTTCCACAACGTTTCTGTCAGCGAAACGATCACCTAGACGCCGCCAAATTCTGACTCTTCCGTCTGCATGGGAGACACAAAAGCGACTTTCATCAGAGAAGATGACACACCTCTACTCACGATGACGCCAATTGCGATGACCCTGTGCCCACTGAAGTCGTGCTTGTCGATGCCGTGGTTGGAGGACAGGACGACGAGCTGGTCGGCGACATCTGAGGTTGTTGGAACGGAGACGTGGGATCACAGTGTCCCGGCTAATGTGTCGATTATGTGTTCCTATGGTCTGTCGAGCACTTTCACTTGCAGTTAGGAACGGATGTCGCTGGTGTTGACGGGTAATCTGCCGATCTTGTCGAGGTGTGGTGAACCTTTGACGACCGCTCCGAGGAAGGTCATCTGTGGTCTGTGTAGCATTGTATCGATGCAGGAGACGGTAAATTGTGGTTATGTTAACGTTGAAATGACATCTTGGACAGACTCTCCAGCTTCCAAACGTCCCACAGCCTGGTTTCTCTGAATTTGAGTTAGGCGTGGCATTGTTGACCAAGGAGTGGTAGGTCCAAGTATCGGCCACAGTTTTATACCCACTACAGTTCGTGACAGTTCGTGCATTTTCGATTTCGGGAGAAATGGGTGCATGATACCCACATATTCATTGAAATGGTGCGTTTTGGCGATTCGTTTTATATGTTGCGTTTTTACTCGGGGCTTCCAAAATGCAACCAAAAATACTGTTAACACCTTCAGGCTTCACTACATGCTAAAACTCGTATCAATTTATGGTTCCGTGTTTGTTACCTATTTGCTTAAAACCACTTGCGTTTCTTTTGCGTGTGAGTATATGTTTTTGGGAAATGTTCGTGGCCTGATATTCGACAAACAGTGCGTCAAAACGCAGCCATTGTCGATTTGCGATGTCTTAAACGGCAAAACTAGTTTTCACACTAGTTCAAAAATATCATGGAGGAAAACAGTAAAGCAAAATGCACGTGCAGTTATGACATTCGTAACTCGTTGTAGTGGCTATAAAAAGGCATGCATAAGCCAATAATTTGTCATTCAATTGTCAATATTTTTCAAGTTCGAAAATGCCGAGACTAAGCGCTGCCAATCGGAACATCGCCACAGGACGTTTCCAAAGAGGGGAATCGCAGTCTTCTGTTGCACGTCACTTCAACGTCCACCACAGCACCATTTGTCGCCTTGACCGATACATACAGTTCAATTCCACCACAGACCGCCCGAGAACTGGCCGACCAAGAGTTACTATCCCTGCACAGGATCGCTACATTCGACTATTCCACCTACGTCATCGCAATGCCACAGCTTCGGAGACTACAGGACGCTTCCCTGGTTTTAGAAGGGTATCGGACCAGGCTGTCATATCCTACACCAAGAGATCTGACTTGGTTGTGGTTCAGGGGCATTTGACAGCACATCGCTGCACGAATCAAATTCTTCAACCTCACCTTCTTCCAAGAGGGAGCTGTTTCAACAGGACAACGCTCCATCGCACACAGCTCGTGTCACGGTAGACTACCCCATAATGCCAACATCAACGTCTTGTCCTGGATATCGAGGTCTCCAGATCTCAACCCAATCGAACTCCTCTGGGATGAACTCGATCGACGTGTACGTCAACGTTAGAACACACCGCAGACACTCCCACAACTGGCCAACGCGTTACAAGCAGAATGGCGCAGAATTCCGCGGGACAGAATTCGTACACTTATCCAGTCAGTGCCGAGGAGATGCAGAGCCGTGATTGCTACCCGGAGCGGTCACACGAGATACTGAGTTCAACGCCATCTTGTGGCCTTATATGGCATGACAATGAGCAGTTTTCAGTGCCTTTGTACGACAGCATCTGACTATCGAGTTCCAAAGTTTCATATTTGTATCTATGATATCAAATTAAATATATCGACTTTATTAGGTACAATAAATTTACTAAAAAGCTACCTGTGCGTTTCTTTTTGGAGAGTGTATTTGACATTATTATGCCTCAAAGTGAGATTGACCCAATATTTGTTTTCTAATATGACACCGTATACGGCAACTAAAGACACCATTACTGATAGTACTCTCCACTCCGGACAAGACTAAGTCGGATAAACGTAGCCAGTTCCAATTATTGAAGACAAATAAAATTACATTTCGTGTGAATAATTGATTTTGGTTATAGCGAAATGATACCGACTGAGGGGTATATAAGAACGAATAATTTAGTTAGATTTTTCTCCCTCCAGTGGCTAAAAGGACTGGAAACACCACACCTCCATGCGCGACGAACTCCAAGCCAAGGTTTTAAAATTTGATAATATACCTTAAATTATGTTGTATACAAACGCAACCAATTATGGCTGCTCACGAATACCCGGGTTCCTTGAAACGGCTATAAAGAGCTGATTGTACGTATGTTGACAGTCAGTACACTTACATAGAAGCGTATAACAGAGGCAGCCCGTCCTTCTTCATCCAGTGTTTGATCGGCGTGCTGCAAAAACACAAAACCCAACATTGAGCTGGACATCATTCCCCGGGTGTGAGCGCGGTTGATTCTGCATAGCTAAGGGACACAACTCTTTAGACACATTGACCATCCGAACGATTTAAATTTGTCATAATGATTTACATAATGCAGTGAAATCTCCAACAGCTGTATACATCGCTGAATGCCGTGCCGTGTTATATTTCAGGTGCAATCTTCATCCCTACAATGATCTGCCTATATCCATTCCGCTTGTTCAAGGGCGGATAAATCAAATTATGTTTGATGGTACTAAAGATTTGAACACTAAATTTTGCACTAAATTATATTTTGTTATTTCCCTAAAGAATGCATTGTTTACTTACATGAAAACGAAGATACTGACAGATCCAACCGTGGCTAACTGCATCGCCGCCATGAGGAGGTAAAGCTGAAAATGTATTGGTAGTATTGGTCCATAAGTTCAACTACCATTATAAGGCGGTATGCTGTAGCTATACAAAGAAGCCAATCTGTCTCGTAGGCACTGGGGAGAATGTTGTGGTGTTATTTAGAGTTCACCAGAGATCAGCTACCATAAGTATTGTTGAATGATTGATTGATTGTTGTTTAACCCCGCACTCAGCAATATTCAAGGGCGGTCTGTAAATAATCGAATCAGGATGAAACAATTGATAAATTGACATCATGAGCATCGATCTACGCAATCGGGATACGATGACATGTATCAACCAGATCTCGTTAGTCGCCTCGTACGACAAGCATGGGTTGTCGAAGACCAATTCCATACCGGTTCTTCACTGGATGCGATAATCATCCAACCTTTTCCAATTATTAATTTTCTGAAACAACGTCCGTGTATTTCCTTGCCATTTTAACGTAATATATTTAGCTACCATGCAATAATACAATATGTTTATATAATCACACACGTGCATCTTGACATACAGATAACAAACCTTTCTAATCAAGGTTCTTCGGTCTTCCTTGCATTTGAAGCCTTTCAAAGAAGGATCGGGCGCAACTGTCGATGTTCTTGCTGGCTTTGGCTTTGGCGCTGGCTTCGGCGCTGGTGCTGCTGGTGCTGCTGCTGCTGCTGCTGTCGGTGCTGGTGCTGGTGCTGGTGCTGGTGCTGGTGCTGGTGCCTGTGCCGGTGCTGGTGCTAGGGATACTGGCTGAAGGGTTAAGGCTGGAGTGTTGGCCGTTGAAACTGGTGGTGTGCCCTTTCGAGGTAAGGACGGAGCTGGTTGTGCTGATGATGATGCTACAAAGGCTTCTCGGGGTAGGGGCGGCCCTTGATCATCTGCTGTGTAGGCATTGTAGTCCAGGTCTGTGACTCCGGAAACACAGAATGTACAGGATAACGCAAACATCTGCTTCAATGTAAGGATAATATAGAACATGCTATTATTATAGAGTTCGTTTTTTGGTACATATATCCGCCGTAGAAATGGGTTGTTGTTCACGGCGATACTTCTTCAATGTACAACAGAAGTCCGTCTGCGGGTCCACAACGTTTTATTGTGCATGGGAGCTTCACTGGCTGTGTCGTGTTCTCAACTGCCAGCTCGTATCGGTCAAGATGCACTTTCTAACAGTCATACTATTCTATATAAGGTAATACAGCTATGCCTAGTAGTATCTCGTCCACAACCCACATGCCTCTCGTGCAGTAGTCGTCCGGATGATCTTACTCTTGGTCTTATAAGACATCAGTATCAAGTTGCAGTCCCATAACTCCAAGAGTATGTATGGCTGGCCTCCAGCACCCCTCACTAGCCATCAGTGAAACAGTTGACCAGTGCACACCTGACCTGTGACCTGGTCACTCCCCCACGAGGGGTTTGCTTGAGGGAGAGGGGGAGGTAATGTGAGCTACTGCCCAGTGCACTCTGCTAGCGGTCCACTGTATATTACTGCATGTGGTATACTGTATATCACTTGAAATACTGTATACTGCATGTGATACTTGTACTGCCTTTGTAATGCCAGAGCAATATTTGCAGAGAACAGACTAGAAGAAATGCGAGAGAAGGGATTACAGCTGCTTGCAAAAGTCCCTCTCCGACATCAGAACCGTGAGGTACATACCTGTTTTATTGAGTGTTCTTTCAATGTCAGTTCTATCGAGAAAGATATATCTGCTATACGTTACTTGATTCACTTGAATGATTCGGATATTTCAGTGTAGAAATCGCAATCGCGCAGAAAGCGAGGTTTCCATATTTACAGGGTTCAACTTTATTTATATTTTTTTATTAACACATTCTTTTAATTATCAATAGTTTATTTCATGTAGCTTCATATATCGTAGTTTTATGACGGATGGCAAAAAGAAAGTGAAAAGTGAAATTGCAAAATTTTAAAAACGCAAGTTCAATGCACGTGCAATGAGGGCATATATATATATGACAAGGAGTGTGGGTCAGACACTCACACTGACGACTGACACCCAAACAACGCGAGCAGATCCTGGGTATGATACAAATTGGGGCCACCCATGCCCACATTGCCAGAATTTTTGGTTGCTCCCTTGTTGCTCTAACTAACCTGATGCAACGTTACAGACAGACCGGTGCATACGGCAGGCCAAGACCCAGGGTAACTACGCCCAATGAAGACTGGTACTTGCTTATTTTGCATCTTCGGAATCGATTCCTGACAGTGACGTCATATTCGACGAATGCCTTAGGTAATATGGAAAGTCGACAGACAGTGGCCAGGCGACTCAGGGCTCAAGGAATTAGAGCCGCAGACCTACCAGAGGACAGTTATTGACAGCAAAACATCGTCGTTACAGATGGCCCGGACTGTACGTGGTTGGCAGCGACGTGACTGGCAGAGGGTCGTCCTCACTGATGAAAGATGGTTCTGTCTGTTCAGAGCTGATGGAAGACATCGTGTTTACCGCCGAAAATGAGAACGAACGGCGGCATGATGCGTTCAGGAGGTCGTGCCGTATGTGGAGGGGGCGTTGTTGTGTGGGAAGGAATGTGTGGGCACTAGAGAAAACCACTGGTCATCGTTAACAGAAAATTGACAGCTCAGTGTTACACTGATGACGTTCTTCGTCCGATTGTCCTACCATTTCTACACCAGCTGCATCATGGTGTCCTTTATCTGCATGACAACGCCAGACCCAATACAGCGCGAATCGTACAGAACTTTCTTGCAGCCAACAACGTCAATGGGTTGCCGTGGCCTGAACTCTCCCCAGGCATGTCCCCCACAGAACACCTCTGGGACGTAATGGATCGTCGTGTTCGATAGCAGCCGTCAACAAGAACTGAACCCTCCAAGAATCCCACGTGACGGCTGACGCCGGAAAGTTTTTGCGTCTCTTGCAGCAGGGGGAGGTCATACACGCTATTAATGTTACGCGTCATTGAACTATTTTAGATGTGAGTGTCCATTACGTTGAAAGCTTGTTTTTGCTACCCCTTCTCAATTCGGGCAACTGTCATGATATCGGATACTGTATGTCTGTCATTTTAAATGTTGATTTTCAATACTTTTACTTCATGCATCTTTCTTTTGTGGTTTATAAACTAAAGTGATTTAAATCTATGGTACAGTTTCTTTGGGCAGACAGTTTATAGTTTCATTCTTTCAGCAGAAGGAATTACCCAGTTAAATCTCATTTAGTCATCGTTTTCCCTCTACCTGCATTTGTATTATATCATAGTTTGTAAGTACTTTGTTCTCGAATACACACGGAAAGGAAAACAGAAATATTGAAAATAATTAAACATAAAAGAAATCTTACTGGGGTTTTGCACTGTGAATATTTCCATATTGGCATCACCCTGGCTCTCTAATAAGACCTGCTCGTAGGAGGGTGGAGGAGTTGGTTGTGCAGACATCGTGTCTGAAAAACAACAACTGAACATAAACAAAGACACTTTAGGCTTGAGCTGAACTATTCAGCTTACAACAAAATCGTTATCTTGTGTAAATTCAAAACATCAACGCCCGAGTATAATCAGTCTCGATTATCTTTCGAAACAGATTCCATCGGGTGTCCCAGGCAAACTACCGATAGAAGGTATATGAATGGCTCTCTGAAAATCAGTGATGACATGGGCGTTCGCGGAAAGGGTAAGCCTGTCCTGGTCTATCGGTAGTACCCGCCACTCACAAAGTCTTCATAAAAAGGGAACTGTTTGTTTGTTGCCAAACGCCGCACCCAGCAGTACTCCTGTCATAGGTCGGTGACCTGACAACACTCAAGTCTGAGCCAGACAATCCAGTGATCAATGTCATGAGCAAAGTCCAACGTTGTTAATCAAGTCACCAAGCCTTAACACCCGATCCATATAACGTGTCTCTATATGTAATGGGAATAATACGTGCATGCCCTTAAGTACTTAAACAGCTCGGAAATATAGACAACATAAGCCTGAGCTGATTGTATATTGTTCGACATGATAGATAGATAGATAGATAGATAGATAGATAGATAGATAGATAGATAGATAGATAGATAGATAGATAGATAGATAGATAGATAGATAGAAGGGACATTGTCACGTTGTCGACCTTGCAAAAACAAGCAAAGAGTGTGAAAATAAACCAAAGCCGACAATGTCCCTTCTAGGATTCCATTGGTAGTGAGTGAGTGAGTTTGGTTTAACGCCGCTTTTAACAGTTATATCACAGCGTGTCAGCTTAATGTGGGAGGAAAGCCCTAAGTGATGCAGGTCTCAGACGTTTACCACTTCGGTGAAACCCACGAGCACGGGTATGGTGCTGACAAACCTAGAAACATAATTGGGGATTCGAACCAAAATCATAGGTTTCTGGCGTGCCCAAGGGACGCAACTCAACACAGCGAATCGCGGCGCCTTAGACGACTGGGCCACCCGTGCCCCCGATTCCATTGGTAGGTAAATGAGGTAGAGGAAGATATGTATTTATCTAGGCAATGATGAAAGAAATGAAGTCATCTGTACATCTGAGGTTTAACATTTGGCAACGTTCCTTTCTTTCATTTAACTAATGTAGTCAACAAATCCCACTAGTATGCAAAGAGAAACAGCTGCTAGGAGGGGAACACATAGTTTCCATGGGGATACCTAACACTTGTCTAAATATTCTTTCCCCTAATTTGACAAAGATATTGTAAATATCGTCTTGTCTGTTTATCACGAGCACGGGCACAGAGCTGAAATACTCGGGTTCAAAATCAGGCAACTGTGTTTTTCAACCAAGTCCACGTTAAACCCCATTTCACCTAGCCTATTTTTTATTTGTTTGTTTGTTGTTTATCTCCGCACTTAGCAATGTTCCAGCTATATGGAGGTGGTCTGTAAATAATCGAGTCTTGACCAGACAATCCAGTGATTCACATCATGAGAATCGATCCACGCAATTGGGATACGATGACATGCTTCAACCAAGTCAGCGAGCCTGACCACCCGATCCCGCTAGTCACCTCTTACGACAAGCACAGTCACCTTTCACGGATCTTCACCTTATGTGGTGATTCGTGTGATGTTTACCACTGACTACAATAAGTAAAATTCGTGAACATCCGGGGTAGAATAGGTCTTCAGCAACTCATGAGTGCTGTAGAAGGTGTGCATGCTTGTCGTAGGAGACGACCAACGGGATAACATGTCATGCATATATACAGTAACTCTCATCACTTGATTGTTGTCACTCCAGCTTGATAACGTTGTAAGAATCTACATCGAAACGCCGCTATGTGCAATAACCAAGAAGTTGTTATCCACAAAGTTGTACGTTTTCTTACTTACTCACCTACTTCTAGAATGCCATTCAAACAGTTTTCTGAACAAAGGCCCATAATTCGGCCTGCGAGATCTCCCGAGGTATGTTGCTAGCCAATCACACAGGACACGCTATCCTTATAAAACCGCCTCCATTCTATACCTGACAGCCTTTCTTTGAATGGCTTTCAACAATTTGAAAGAGCCCTTATTAGTACAGTACCACGATTGGATACTTTATTCAGCCACGTGCATGAGTCAGTTTGACATGGTAGATGATCCAGCATTAAGCATTACAGGTGAATGTGATATAAGCAGGTGTCAAACACTATTTTCAAGACTTTACGACAATCCCTGGATTCTGCGAACCCAATAACCACAGACATTGGGCGAACATCGACAGAAATTTGTACACACAAAAAATAACCGCATGTGCTCACACAGATAACCAATCACAGGTATGTGCTTACACGGATAACCACAGGTATGAGCTCACACGAATAGCCACAGGTATGTGCACACACAGACAGCCACATGCACACTCAGACAGCCACAGGTATGTGCACACAGAGACAGCCACAGGTATGTGCACACACATAAACCACAGGTATGTGCACACACAGACAGACACATGCACACACAGACAGCCACAGGTATGTGCACACACAGACAGCCACAGGTATGTGCATACACAGACAGCCACAGGTATGTGCACACACACACAACCACAGGTATGTGCACACACAGACAGCCACAGGTATGTGCACACACAGACAGCCACAGGTATGTGCACACACACACAACCACAGGTATGTGCACACACAGACAGTCACAGGTATGTGCACACACAGACAGCCACTGGTATGTGCACACACAGACATGCACAGGTATGTGCACACACACAACCACAGGTATGTGCACACACAGACAGCCACAGGTATGTGCACACACACAACCACAGGTATGTGCACACACACACCAACAGGTATGTGCACACACACAACCACAAGTATGTGCACACACAGACAGCCACATGCACACACAGACAGCCACAGGTATGTGCACACACACACCAACAGGTATGTGCACACACACAACCACAAGTATGTGCACACACAGACAGCCACATGCACACACAGAAAGCCACAGGTATGTGCACACACACACAGCCACAGGTATGTGCACACACAGACAGCCACAGGTATGTGCACACAGACAACTACAGGTATAAGCACACAGAGACAGCCACAGGTATGTGCACACACACAGCCACAGGTATGTGCACACAGACAGCAACAGGTATGTGAACACACAGACATCCACACCTCACACAGGTAGCCGCAGGTATGTGCACAGACAGCCACAGGTATGTGCACACACACAACCACAGGTATGTGCACACACAGACAGCCACATGCACACACAGACAGCCACATGCACACACAGACAGCCACAGGTATGTGCACACCCAGACAGCCACAGGTATGTGCACACACAGACAGCCACAGGTATGTGCAGACACAGACAGCCACAGGTGTGTGCACACACAGACAGCCACAGGTATGTGCACACACAGACAGCCACTGGTATGTGCACACACACACAACCACAGGTATGTGCACACACAGACAGCCACAGGTATGTGCACACACAGACATCCACAGGTATGTGCACATACACAACCACAGGTATGTGCACACACAGACAGCCACAGGTATGTGCACACACACAACCACAGTCATGTGCACACACACACAACCACAGGTATGTGCACACACAGACATCCACACCTCACACAGGTAGCCGCAGGTATGTGTTCACACAGATAACCAAGGGTATGTGCTCACACACACAGCCACAGGTATGTGCTCACACACACAACCACAGGTATGTGCACACACAGACATCCACACCTCACACAGGTAGCCGCAGGTATGTGTTCACACAGATAACCAAGGGTATGTGCTCACACACACAGCCACAGGTATGTGCTCACACAGATAGACAAGGGTATGTGCTCACACAGGTATGTTCTTTTCGCTTGTTCAACGCCGCACTCAGCAATATTACACCTATATGATGGCGGTCTGTAAATAATCGAGTCTGGACCAGACCATCCAGTGATTGACATCATGAGCATCGATCCATGAATTTGGATACGATGACATGCATCAACCAAGTCAGCGAGCCTGACCACAGTAATTTCGTAACCCAAACGAGTTCGTAACGCGAAAATTGACATATTTCGTAACCCACATCGAAAGTAGCTTCGTAACATTGTCTAATAAATAATGTTATAAATAAAGAATTAATTAAAATTTAGATAAATATAACGTTCTAAGGCCATCGTTCTAAGGCACTAAGGCCATCGCGAGACCAGATCCTTCATTACCTATATTTCAGAACCAAACAGGGCGGCAAGCGAGCCCCGTTCAACCCGATAGTATCGTTATAGAGAAATATCCCGGAGAAACATATTTCCTGCTTAACGAGCCATAGGAAAATATGTCATATACAGTGTATGCGTCCAGGAAGGCGGGTGTCTGGATTAAATATGTCCGGATTGACGAGGTGTCCCTGCATGTGTATGAGAAGCAAAAACAGACTGAAGTATATTCGCCAAAGTCACAGGATTCTGAATCTTTTTTGCAGTGATGTCATGTAAGAGCGATATGATAAAGTATTCCCAAAGGATTTAATATTTTTGTTTACAAATTTCTTAATAACTTGACACAATTCATTAAGTTCCTAAATTTGAACAGCTTTAAAGAGAAAAAATAATGGACAATATTAATTCATACCGTGTTCCGAGATACCGCTGATTGATGTCCTTTGATATGGTGGCGTAAGACCGATTGGTCAAGCGTAACTGTAGCCACAAAGCAAGTTCGTTTCCTAGATGCAAAGCGGTAGTGATAGAATATGTATGACAAGGTGCGGGAGCCCTATCGATCAGTTCTGTTAGTTAGGCATACAGGTGCAAATACCCGTTCACGTGTCTTGTGTAATTATGTTGTTGTGGTACGTTTAATTATCGCCAAAGGGTCAAGGCTACATGATCGTCCCTTAACGCGCTCAGGCACAAAGGCGAAGAAACTTTGTTCGCGAACGGATTAATCCCGTCCACTCGCCAAGC